TTTTTTTTTTTTTTTTTTTTCCATTTTCTTTTGCTACCCAGTATATGCAGCACTTGTAAACTACCAATGGGTTGCCAGCTTTAAATACATTACACGTCTTGATGAAAGACTATTTAATTCTTCAAGAATCTAAAAACAGACCAAACGTGTTTTGCTGTGAACACTTTGTAGAGACGAAGTGAGACGGGAGCTGGATTGGTTGGTTTAAAAAAAAAAAAAATCACTACAGTGATGGAAGGGTAAAGAATGCAGGCATTCAGACATTCTGCGGTTACGTTCCCTCCGTGAAGAGGTCCATAGAAAGGAGCAAACTGAGATCCGTAAGGGGAGTCAGCAGGAGCCGTGTTTGTTCCCCACCCCCTGTGAATAGGTTTTTGCTGAGGGGCCACTGCTAGGTCCCCACTTGCTCCCTCCCTTTGGCCTGAGATGGCAGGGCAGTACAGGGACATCAAAGGAGCGCGTCACGATTCCTCATTCCCGGAATCATCATCATCATAACAGTCGGCATCTTCCTCCTCCTCGTCTTCATCATCAATGTCATCGTCGTACAAGTCGTCATAGAGCAAATCTGAACTGTTGTCATTGGAAGGCACTTTAGTTTTGATGCAATATTCTGCCAGGGTTGTGGGGACCTTCACGCCATCCTTTTCTGCTTCGGCCTTAGTGGCTGAAACCTGTTTCCTAAAGGGAGGATGACAAATACAGTTGACATTAAGTGTATATCTTAAAGATATATTTTATAACTGGCCTCTAATATAATGAAGACTCCTTAAAATGCTGATTTCTCAAACTTACTATTTACCTGACAGCATCTGACTGATAGATAACTTACCATGCACTACACCAAAGGCTTTCAGTCCATCAGGTACCATTTTGAAGGAATCTGTAATAACTACCTTTTAGGGGAAAATAAATATTATGTGGAGGGAGTTTAAAGCAATGGATCTCTTGTTGAGTAACAGCTAGAATCACCTTGGAGGCTTTCTTCCCAGTTTTCTCTTCACCACCAATATGTGCAGCCCCCATGCATAATGCAATCCCAATAACTCTTCTTAACACTATAATCTTCCTCATTTATATTTACAGTAAAACCCCAATACCTTATCCTAGATTCCAAAGACTTCCATGACCTGTTTACCTCTTATTCTCACCACCCATTACTTTCTCCGATTCCAAAACATCCAGGCCACACTGGTCTTCTTTTAATAATTTGCACACTTAGATGATTTTTCTGTCTGGACCAACTGCTCATACCCTGATCTACACATAGCTGGCTCCTTATCACTAAGATCTCAGCTTAAATATCACCTCAAAGGAGGTCTTTCCTAACAACCCAATTAAAGCAGCATCTAGTTACTCACATTTATCCTTCTTATCACTATCTTTTATTCATTTTTCTATTTCCCCTCACTGAAATGTAAGCATTATTAGAACAGATCTCTTCTTAACTCACGGCCGTCGAGTCGGATCCAACTCATAGCGACACCTCCTTGGGTTTCTGAGGCAGTATCATTATGGAAATAGACCGCCCAACCTTCCTTTTGAGTAGTGGCTGGTGGGTTTGAACTGCCAGCCTTCTGGTTAGCAGTGAAATGCCTTAGGCACTACAACTAAGATCTTTTCTTAGTCACTTTCATTTCTCTAGTGCTAAAACACTGCCTGGCATATAGTAGGTGTCCAAAAAAAAACTGTATGAATGAACAGAAGAGCAAATGTTTTCTTCCAACAAGTATGAAAATTTAGGCCCTTAAAGGACTGGAGAACCAGGATTAAAACACCAGAGGGCCACTGCCTTGATTCTCCTCCTACTCACCTTTCTGAGTAGCTCTCTTTTCAGCCACTGTTGCTACTTTACATACTTTGCCATGTTCCTGAGACTTCTAGGCTTGAACCTCTTCGCTCTCAGCATCTCGCTGAGCCATCTTACAGTTTTAACATCTGTTATGGATTGAACTGTAACCCCCAAAATATGTGTTGAAATCCTAACCTTGTGCCTGTGGATAACACCCTGCGTGGAAAAAGGGGTTTTCTTCTGTTATGTTAATGAGGTATATATACCAGAGTGGGGTAGGCCCTAAACCTCATCCTTTAAAGTTCTAAAAACAGCAGAAAAGACAAAGAAAAAGAAGAAGACAGATGCCAAAGACTGCCAAGAAAGCCCAGGGGCTACTGACAAGGAAGGAGCTTCCCCTAGAGCAGTGCCCAAATTTAGACTTCTAGCCTAGCAGTGAGAAAATACAGTCCTGTTCTTTCGTCACCCACTGTGATGTTTCTGTTACAGCAGCACCAAGCACCACGTCCTTAATGCTGACAGATTTCACATCAGGCTCTAGCATCTATGTTTTCTTTTGTAACCAACTGCCTTTTGGATGTATCCATCCTCATGTCCCAGAGTCATCCCAACACAGGAAGTCTAAAATTGTATTTGTCATTTCCATTTCTAATGCCAGTTTCTCACATTTTTCTTCTGTCAGTGAAAGAGTATCAGTTCCTTAAATCCAACCTCATCCCATGTGTCCAAAATCACCAGTGTGCTATTGCTTTACAGCCTCTCTATTTTCTCATCTGTCTTCGGATTCCATTGCCACTGCCTTAGTTTATAGTTCTCACTTCAGCCTCTCTATCCGTCCCCTGGTCAACTGTGTTCTTCCAGAACTCAGGTGTGGTCATCCTTTCCCTTTCAAACATCCTTAAATAATACCTCATTCACCTCCGAAATTAAAGACCAAATTCATCATGACTCCAATGTCTTTTTAGACTTGTTGCTTCTCCTTTTTTGTTGTTGTTGTCGTCGTCGTTTCTCTTGGTTAATTTCCTATTATACCCACCCTTCACTTATCGACATGATCAGAAGACCAGGTCATCTGATGTGAAAACTGGCATTATGTGAAAATGGAGGATGACCACATCAAATCCCAAAATTAAGGATCACTACATGTAACTGCCAAACTACTGAGAATCATGGCCCAGCCAAGCTGACACATAACACACAACATCATAGCCATCATTACTTTCGCCTTGCACCTCAGTGGTTGTTACTGTCACACATGCCTCCAATGCACAAACAGATTTTTAAAATACTGTCATAAAAGTGAAATGTCAGATAACAAGATAGTTAACAAATGAAAAGTGTATTTCCAAAATCAGAATTTACATTCAAGCCAGTAAAACTACTTTTAATTCCCTTGACATGCCATGCTTTATACACATGTGTTTTAGCAAACATTATTTCTCTCTTCCTGAAGATGCTTTTTGCTTTTCTTTTTTACATGAGAAATTCTCGGTCATCTTTAAAAACTCAGAGAAAGCATTATCTCTCTCAGCAATTCCATGGCATCATATCCTTTTTCCTGTGTATTCTTATTTATGCTTCTGTAGTCACAGTCAACGTATTTTATAGTTATCTGTTTACAATTGTTTGCTACCCTAAGTAAATTGTGAGTTCCTTGAGAAGACAGACGGGGCTCCAATCAACTTTGTATCCCCTGTACCTAGCATAGCACCAGACACACAGCTGGTACATAAAAATTTTGAAAAGTATTAAATGAAGAATGAGATAAAAAAGACCTTTAGAAGATTATTCAGCCATAAAGAGAAAAAAGGCCTGATACATGCTATGACATGGATGAACCAAAAGGACAAATACTGTACAATCCCACTTACATGAGCTATCTACAACTGACATGCAGAGAGAACAGAGTTCATCAGTGGTTATCAAGGGTGGGTGGAGGGGAAATGAGAAAGCTTAAAGGGTACTGAGTTTTTTTTTTAATGAAAACACTTGGAAACCAACAGTGGTGATCATTGTATAACACGGTGAATGTAATTAATGTCAATGAATTGTACACATAAAACTGGCTGGAATGTTTTGTTGCATATGCTTCACCAATATAAAAATTAGAGAGAGCCAACCAAACCCAACCCAACCCATCTGCCAGGCACTGACTCTGACTCCTGTTGGCCACGAGTGTTATGGAACAGAGCAGCCCCACACAGCTTCTGGCCACCATCTTTACGGAAGCAGATCACTAGGCCTTTCCTCTATGGTGGTGCTGGGTAGGTTCAAAACATCGATATTTAGGTTAGTACTCAAGTACAAACTGTTTGTGCCCTCCAGGGTCTGAGAGAGATATATAGACCCTCTAGTAGCGTAGTACCTAAGCCACTTGACAGCTAACCAGAAAGCTGGAGGTTCAAACCCAACCAGCCACTCCTCGGAAGGAAAGCTGGGCAATCTACTTCCGTAGTGATACCACCTAGGAAACCCAAGGAGGGGCTGCTATTAGTTGGATCGGACTCAATGGCAGTGAGTTTTGTTTTGTTTTTTTTTGCTTTGAGTAAGAAATATATAATGAGTAAAAGAACTCTGAGAATACTCATTCCTTCTTCACTTACTAAATCCTAACTTTTCTTGAACATCACCCTCCAATCCTGTTTTGGTGAAGCATTCTCATCCTTCAATCCTAAGTCCACTCACTCACCTAAATTTCTATAGGCCTTTACTATTTATACTAATTATCTTCAAACTTTTGTAATAACCATCAGTCACCTGGGTGGCTGATGTCTTTTATTAAACAAACAAACAACAGATGCCCAGGATCTATCCTTATAATCTCATTCAACAGCTATGGCTTACAAGTGACTTCCATGGACACCAAACTTTTGAGACCTGCTGAACTGTATGATGACATGCTTTTCTATACACTGCTTTTACTGTTTCATGTCACATGCTATCATGCCAACTAGATTTATAGCAAGGGACTCTACTGGAATCCCAGTGCTTACTAAACTATGTACAGAATGAGTTAGAACCATCCTTAAGCCTGTTTCAAAGGTATGAAAAGGGGAGTTGAATTTAATACAAAATCCTTGGGTACTGTTATGGAAACCTCATGTCTGACTTAAGAGTATGACTGTGAAGATGAATGGCTGAGCCCAATACACCTTTTACAAAGATGGTGAAAACCAAAAAAGTTAACTGAAAAATGGTTACACAAGGAGTGGTAGAGCTGATAGCAAACTCCAAGTCTGATTCCTGTTCTAGAACTGTTAATACCACATTATTACGTACTTTGCCATGTGCCTCATACTAAAGATACCCAGAAAACACTGGGTATCTTCTATGCTGCTATGACCAAAAAGGCCAATAAATGGTAGAGCTCCACCAATGAAAAATCTGAAAAGAAAACTACTCTGTCGTATGTACCTGGAATAGCCTGGGTAGTTGTGTTTGCTGCACCTTAACGGGCATGCTGATAGCCCAGCATAGGGTCTCTAAAATGATCAGGAGGGAGATTTCACAAACATGACTAGTTTAGAACCTCTAAGTTCTGGTTCCCTAGAAATCAGATCTGATGTTGTATTATCCCTTCTAGTGTGTGCTCTCTCAAAACCCAAGCTCAGCAGGCTCAGGCAGAAATCTGCTTTTCTCTTCCCATGCTGTAAATGTAACTAAGAGAAAGGGAGTAGATAGGATAGTTAGGTTTGATTTAAACCCTTGGTTCCAGGATACAGTTTTGTTCTGTATGAAAACTAGAATTAATCAAAACGAAAACAAAACAAAGCACCTTACCTAATGATTTCAGCATACTCTTTGTCTTTTCCTTTACTGTCCCTCCATTTCCTGAACATAACTGAAGCATCCACATTGGCTGGGGAGAAGGTGTTGGGCTCATTAAGCAGTGAGATTACACTTAACAGGATAGTCCTAGAAATGGAAAAAAGGGTCAGCTATGAATATTCATATTCACAGTATTCAAAAATATCCTGCTTTATAAAATACATTCAGATTTAAAATATTTCCTCAAATTTTTTTCTGATATAATTTAGACTATAATATATGAAGTCTTAGGGGAATGGAAATAGAGCATCATAAAATTTTGTTTCAACACAGCTCTAGGAACAAGCCACTAACTGGAAGACAAAACAGAGGCAGTCTGTGAACCTAGCACAAAGGTCATGTTGGAAAGTGTGAAATGAACTCTATAGAAGGCACTGTCTTGACTGACTGCAAAATGTAACTGTCTGGAGGCTTTTCAAATATGTGTAGAAAAATTACAAAATAAGTGGAATAGAAAAGAGGAAAACCATAAAATATTTAGGTTCAAAATAATCTTTTAGTGGGAGAAGGTAAAATTTAAGATCTGAAGAACAGTATTACATACAAATACATTTCTTCTCGACACTTACAAGGAAGGAAGACAGAGTTAAACAGGAAAATGGAGGAAAAGTAAAGGCCTTGACATGAAAGAACTAGTTTGTGAACAGTAGAAATCTTTATTCAAAAATACTACTGAGCACCTAATGTGTGCCAGGGGAGCTCTAGTGGCGTAGTGCCTAAGGCACTTGACTGCTAACCAGAAGGCTCATGGTTCAAACCCACCAGCAACTCCTCGGAAGGAAGATGTGGCATTCTACTTCCATAGTGATACTGCCTCAGAAACCCAAGGAGGGGTCGCTATGAGTCGGGTATGAATGGACGGCATATAACAACAACAACAATCTGTGCCAGAGGCATCAAGTTAGATGCTGGATGTATAATGGTGGATAAGTTAGATGCCCTCCCCTGATTTTCCAAGGCTTATAAAACCAGTGAGAGAAACAATTAAATAATCAAGAATGCACAATAAAGCTCCAAAAATGTTTCAAATTATTTCCAGTTTTTGTTTCGTCCATTTTTCCCCCCCATAAAAGCTATATGCATGTGGGTAAGGAGGAAAATTAAATCTCTCTACCTTTTCTCATTGGTGCAAGGTTATATATTGAGTTGCTGCAAAATAGCTTTTTTGCTCTTGGCCCCAAGCAAAAAATAAAGGGAGGGATCAGGCAATTAGATGTTTGATTTGATGAAAATGAAACCTTTTCCTAAAAAGGGTAAAGTCATGTGTTTGTACAAAATTGTAACAAAGGCACTTTCAAAGAAAACTTTCCCATGCGGTTAAAATCCATTATCACTCACACACACATACATACATACATACACACACACACACCCTCCTTTCTATCAAGTTAAGGATAACTCCGTACCCCAAGCCCCAAGATCCTTCTGCATTTCTTCAGTGAATTCATTTAAAAGATTGAAACAACCTTATCATGGCCAACAATGGATAAGAAACTGACATTAACTTCCCAGAAGCAAAAGAAAATATGGGCAGAAAGTGACATGAGTTTCTTCAGAAAATATATACAGGCAGACCTCAGAGATATTGCATGTTTGGTTACAGATGATCACAATAAAGCAAATACTGCAATCAAATGGATCACATGAATTTTTTAATCTCCTGTTGTGGTTAAGTGCCACTGAGTCGGTTCTGACTCATAGTGGCCCTATGTACAAGAGAACTTAACACTGAGCTTTTTTATCTCCTAGTGCATGCATATGAGGATACAGAGTGTAGAAAATAAGGAGCTCTCATGGGGTAGTGGTTAAGGCATTTGGCTGCTAACCAGAAGGTCAGTGGTTTGAACCTACCAGTCACTTCATGGAAGAAGATGAGACAGTCTGCTTCCGTAAAAATTTACAGCTTTGGAAACCCAATGGGAGTTGCTATGAGTTGGAATCAACTTGATAGCATTGAGTTTGGTCTGAGTGCATATAAATGTTATCTTTACACTATACTTTACTATAATTATTATTATGGTAGTCTGTTAAGTGTGCAGTAATTATGAAAAAGGTTGAAATACACTGAGAATTACAAAAGTGTGACACAGAGACACGAAGTGAATACATGCTGTTGGAAAAATGCTGCTGACACGTTTGGCTCAATGTGTTGCCCCAAACCTTCAGTTTGTCAAAAATGCAGTATCTGCAAAATGCAATAAAACAATGCCTGTACAAAAACTGTCGTAAGTATGGTATAAAGAAAAAAATGCCAAGTATGGTATAAAGAAAAACCAGCTTAATGCAATAACAACTTTCTACAATGATAGACATGTTCTATAATTGGTATCAACCAATATGGTAACCATTAGCCATGTGTTTCAACTGAGCACTCTGAAATATGATCTATGTGACCAAGGAAATGAATCTGTAGTATCATTTAATTTTATTAACTTAAATTTAAATGGCTACATGAGGTTAGTGGCTACCATATTGGACAACACAGAACCAACATGAATCATAATAAGCTAATTAGGACATTTTTCCCCACAAGTAGTTTCACCAAATTGATTTTCTTATATCTCATGTTCATTATTAAAATAATATATTGAAAAACAGAATTTTAAAAATGGTGCATCACACATTTCTATTGAAATAAGAACTCATTTATAATTCCATATATTCCTAAATTGAAATCCATGATGCTTTCTGAAGTACCAGTTACTACAGTGGTCTGTGTTAACAGTTTTAGTTAGCGTAGATGTTTTCACTTCCTCTCTTCATATGGAGAACAAAATCTTTTTTTTGTATGGAAAGTTCATTTCATATGGTTTGTTGTTGTTGTTGTTATATGCTGTGCAGTCAGACCCGACTCATAGCGACCCCTCATATGGTTTGTTGTTGTTGTTGTTGTTTGTCGTCGAGTCGGCCCCGACTCATAGCGACCCCTCCTTGGGTTTCCGAGGCAGTATCACTACGGAAGTAGGATTGCCCAACCTTCCTTCCGAGGAGTGGCTGGTGGGTTTGAACCGCCAGCCGTCTGGTTAGCAGGCAAGTGTCTTAGCCACTATGCTACCAGAGCTCATATGGTTTAGGTAGGGCTAATCTCCTTCTCCCAGCAGTGTACACATTCCTCATATACACAACAACCTGTCTACCCAGAGCAGTAAAAACATGCATGACCAAAGGCTAAACAAAGGATTCCATCTATCTTGTCATGATAATTGGTTTGAGGATATGCATATGAATCGGCACTGGGCTGGTCCCCAACCAATGACAAAAAAAGGATTTATTTTTATTCTTGAATGTACTGACAAGTGTGAGAATAAGGAAAACCTAGAGCAGGTAGTCATCTTTGTCACCACATGGTTAGAGCCTGCTTACTAACAAGGCCAGTACAGAGTAAAGCAGAATTGAGATTTTTTTCCCTCTAATATACATTCCTGATGCAATTCATATCCAACATCCTAATCAGAGTTTCCCCATCAGTATGTTGTGAATTATGGTTTTGGCAAAGAATACTGAATATACCATAGACTGCCAGAAGAACAAATAAATGTCTTGGAAGAAGTATAGCCGGAACGTGCCTTAGAAGCGGGGATGACGAATGAGACTGTCTCATGTACTCTGGACATGTTATCAGAAGGGACCAGTCCCTGAAGGGCATATGCTTGGTAAAGGATGTTGTTGTTGTTGTTATGTGCCGTGGAGTTGGGGCTGACTCACAGCGACCCCTCATGGAAGTAGATTGCCCAACCTTCCTTCTGAAGAGTGGCTGGTGGGTTTGAATCGCCAGCCTTCAGGTTAGCAGTCAAGTGCCTTAGGTACTACATTATCAGAGCTCCTTGGTAAAGGATGTTGTTGTTATGTGCCCTCGAGTCAGATCTGACTCATACATAGTCAGACCTGACTCACAGTGACCCCTCCTTGGGTTTCCGAGGCGGTATGGTATCACTATGGAAGTAGACTGCCCCATCTTCCTTCCGAGAAGTGAGGAGTGGCTGGTGGGTTTGAACCGCCAGCCTTATGGTTAGCAGTCAAGTGCCTTAGGCACTACGCTACCAGAGCTCCTTTGGTAAAGGATTGTTGTTGTTGTTGTTGTTATGTGCCGTCGTCGAGTCAAACCCGACTCATAGCGACCCCTCCTTGGGTTTCTGAGGCAGTATCACTACGAAAGTAGGATTGCCCAACCTTCCGAGGAGTGGCTGGTGGGTTTGAACCGCCAGCCGTCTGGTTAGCAGGCAAGTGTCTTAGCCACTATGCTACCAGAGCTCCCTTGGTAAAGGATAGTGTCAGCTAAAAGGAGAAAGATCCTCAATGAGATGAATTGACAGTGGTTGTAACAATGGGCTCAAGCATAGCAACAATTGTGAGGATGGCTCAGGAACAGGGAGTGTTTAGTTCTACTGTTTGTACACAGGGTTGCTATGAGTTAGAACTGACTCAACAGCCCTTAACAATAACATGTTGTGAACGGGTTACAGGACATAAGACACTGGGTGGGTAGGACCTGGGACAGCCTGAGTGAGTCTCTGGGTCAATAAATTCTGGCCAAAGGAGTATCTATCTATCTTCAGTTTACCTCAATGTGATTTATAAATACTATCATTTTTATTTTCTGTATGTACCATGACTGGAAAAGATTATGAAACAATGCCTTATGTAAATTATCTATCATATGTACCTAAATAAATGTGACCTGTAGCATGGCCAACAACTCTGCAAGGCGGAAGGAAGACTGGGCAATCTACTTCCATAAAGATTTACCACCTCAGAAACCCAATGGGGGTCACTTTGAGTTGCAAACGACTCGATGGCAGTGAGTGGGTGGTTTTTTTGTTGTTCTTGTTTTGGTAGCATGGCCGAAAACTCTGCAAGGCAAGTTTTATTAATCTCTTATTTTTACAAAAAAAACTACACTACTTTCCTGAGACAATACCACTAGAATATATAAAACAAGATTTGAATGTAGAAACTATTTCAACTTTTACCTCTTTTCTTTCCTTTAAATAAGTTTTAATAAGTTTAAAATCCATTCATTATATTTTCTCAGGAGAAACAAAGAAGTTGAAGGTGGAGAGAATTAACAATAGGGATAAGAATGGCAA